CCCCATGTCCCTGACTGTCCCAACCCCGCTCCACACCCCTGCCCCCCTGACAGGCCCCCCCCCAAACTCCAGACCAATCCAACCCCCCTCACCCTCCCGTCCCCAACCAGGGCCGGCTTTAACAAGAACTCAGGAATCGGGTTGCACTCTGGCCGCAGTTATAACTTGTGTCAAGTAACACAATACTGACCACAATACTGCAATCAGGTACACTTGTTTAACTCTTGGAATGTGTGTGTTCCCATAGGACTATTCTCAAGTGTAAAGTTAAGCACATGCATAAGTTTTTACAGGTTCAGGAACCGAGGGTTAACCATGACCAGTTGACATGATTTTATGATAAGATGCAGATATTTGTTTGTAAGCACCCTTTACTAGAGGGGCCTCTGAATTTATTGGGAGTGTTCCAGGGGAAAAGCCTATGTGCTGCAATCTAGCCTTAGAGACTACAACTCTCATGATGCCTTGGGGAAAGAGAGTGAGAGACTTCCCTCTGCAGGAAGAGCAGGCTGTGGACTCCATTTGGGGAAGAGGAGTGAGATGGCTGATGTGGAGCTCTGTCCATACCAGGAGCTGCTACTAGGAAGCCAGAAGCTGCTTCTGAGAGTCTGCAAGGGCTTTGATCAAGCAGAGAGCCTCAGAGGCTGTTCGTGGCTTCACTAGAGCCAGGGCAGACACTATTGCTCTGCCTAGAGCTGACTGAGTTGGGCCTGCAGTGAAGGAACTGTGAGTAACCCCCACTGTTGAGAAAGTACTTGGAAGGGGCACTGCGGAGAGACTGAGTCTGAGGAGAGGCAGAGTGATCTTTCCATCGAACCAGGACCAAGAGCTGCTGACATTTGGTGAAGCCAGCTCCAACCTTCAGCGGGGCTGTGCAGCTTGTTGCCTTGGCTGGACTGATACACAGAACCCACGGAGTGCTGTCTCCAGCTTCAGATCTTCAAGTGTGTCCACGCAAGCGTCTAGGACTCTGAAATCCAGAGGAGTGTACACTCTGGGGTGGGGTAAATGATGGCAGTGTAAATGCCAGTTAGATAAGTTTCATTTATTGCTGTATACTATATTTGTTAATTGATTTTATTCAACTTCTCCCCTGTGGATTTAAATCAGTAGTGACATTTAATCATCGTCTGTTATACCCTATTTCTTTAAGTTGTTAAGTAAATGAGTGTTAGCTCTAATTTAAGTATATTGAATGTATATTATTTATAACTGTTATGAGTTAGACCCATGCCACAAGTTGTTATTATTATTACTATTTGAAGGGGTTTATTCCTGGAGGTTCCCAAGGCACGCCATTGTGTGTATACAGGGGCCAGCCAGGTGGAGGCACCACCAATTTTAACTTCCTTTAGGAGTAAAGGGACTGCAACAGAGGGTGGATGGAGGATTCTCATTTATCCAACATTACCAGATACTCAGAATCTCCTATAATGTCAACAACATCAGGCACATAGGTGAATGCTGCCTGATCCCAAGTAACCCAGGGAAGAAAGTGGGGTTACATATTTGTTTGTTCCCAAAACCTGAAGATGAATTTGGAAAGGTTCAGTACACATCACAGTCATGGTTGTGAACGTGCTCTGGAATACAAAAAACTACATTTGCTCAGTATTTTCTTGCTGAAAAAAATTACTAAGCCCTTTTGATCTTCTGCAAACATGGCAGTTACGACACCTTTTAAAAATTAATTGTATTTTTAAAGACATGCTGCATGTATTTGAAATTGTTCTGACAAGTTTGAAAAGCATATGAAAAAAAGCTAGTAAAAGGTATTTAGATTTTAGGCTAAGGCCCCGAAGTCTCGTTTTTTAATTGGCCAATCTTTGTTTGATTTGCATATTACAGTTACAGCTGTCTCATTGACTGTAATTTTGAATGTATGCACATTTATTGCTTATATTGAATGTTGTTAGATTGACAACCCTATAGAGTGAAATACTCTGATTAGTCACAGCACAGGCAGCAGCAGTGCAAACTTCCCTACACCAACATGCCTCATCCATGCTTGAAAGGTATCTCTATAGAGGTAAGAGGCTGGGTCAGCCTTGAAAGCTGATTCAATCTCTTTCTCCCAACAAGAGGACTAAATAAAGTCAAATAAGGTGGTGATGTGGAAGCTTGTTCACTGTGGAGATCTCAACATCTCACACAGGCAACAGGTCAGATAGATTATTACTTTCAGTTACTATCTAGGGCTGTATCTGAGTTAACAGTCTAGAAGTGAAATATCCCATTACCAATCTGCACAGCCCTATAGCAGCTGTTTTGTTTCACAGTGGCAATAGTCATCATTTCTGTGAACATGTGGGATCAATTTGTTTACTCATACCGTCCGATTGGTGCAAACAGGAGTGAAAGCATTGGTTCCACAGGTGAAGAGCCGGTCACCACCAACGAGAAGCACACGGATATAGTTCTGGCATTCTTCCTGCGATGCAGAAAAGAAATAATGTATTCAGCAATGCTGCAAAGGAGAGGGAGGCCATTTAAAACTTGAATTATTCATCAGGGCTATGTTACCGTACGTGAAAACTCTAATAAGCAATGCTTGAACTTACCTGATGAGTGAGAAATCAATAAGTACTTAGATTGAATTCCTAACTATAGTACAAGAATCCATTCTATCCTTAAGAAAAGCCACTAATAGAGTCAAATAAACCTGTCCAGTACCGAATGCATCTGCCAAATTAATATTTTTAAAGGTCCAGTTAAACTTTTTACGTGATATACACCACCTTGAATAAAAATGTCACTCCCAAAAGATCAAATGCTATATCTCACGACAGGCCAGGCCACAGGGTGAGGGGTGGTCAATGGGTCACTACCTTGGATTCGTTGAAGCTACCATAGATATACCTCATGAGCTAGATCTCCAGGTGAGGATTTGGCCCTATTACTTTAATGCATGACATTAGAAGCATATTAAATTACCCACAGGAGAGACATTTCTCCAAGCACTGAGGTTCCTCAAGATGGCCTCCAAAATTCCATCTCTTCAAATAACATGTAAGCACACCCTGGAGGAGTTATGATATATATATTTTTTTACTCCATTACATTTATGTTTAGACTCTGAAATTGGAAAAATTAAGATACCACCAAAAATTTTCATGGTTGGTTCAGGTTAGGGTTACCATATTTCCTCATTAAAAAAAGAGGACACTCCACAGGGCCTTGGCCCCACCCCGGCTCCACCCTTTCCCCGCCCCAACTCCGCCCCTTCCCCAAAGCCCCGCCCCAACCCCGCCCCCTCCCCTGAGTGCCCCGCATTCCCCCCTCCTCCCTCCCAGCCGTGAAACAGATGCCCGAGTGCTACCGGCTTCACGGTTTGCTGGGCAGCCCCCAGACCGCCAGACCCTGCCCCCGGCCGGGCGCTTCCCCAGCACAGCTGGAGCCCGAGAGTGGAAGCACCCGGCCAGGGGCGCAGGGTCTGCCTGCAGCTCGCAGCCTGCGAGAGTTGCAAGATAAGCAGGGGACTGGGGCAGGGATGCCGGCAAAGCTATTTTCCCGGACATGTTCAGCTTTTTGGCAATTCCCCCCGGACGGGAATTTGAGGACCAAAAAGCCGGACATGTCCGGGAAAAACTGGACGTATGGTAACCCTACCTAACTGCCCCCCAGGACTCCACCCCCTACCTAAGCCTCCCTGCTCCTTGTCCCCTGACTGCCCCCTCCTGAGACCTTTCCCCGCATCCTAACTGGCCCCCTAGGACCCTATCCCCTACCTGTCTCCTGACTGCCCCCTCCTGAGACCCTCCCCCCATTCTAACTGGCCCCCTAAGATCCTACCCCTTACCTATCCCCTGACTGCCCCAACTGTTATCCACCCCCCACATCCCCACACCCCCAGACAGACACCAGGAACTTCCACACCCCATCCAACCACTCCCCACCCCCTGACAGGCCCCCCCCGAACTCCCGACCCATCTAAACCCCTCTGCTCCCTATCCCCTGACTGCCCCCTCCTGGGACCCCTGCTCCTAACTGCCCTCCAGAACCCCACCCCCTACCTAAGCCTCCCTGTTCCTTGTCCCCTAACTGCTCCCCCTAGGACCCTACCCCCTACCTGTACCCTGACTGCCCACAACCTTACACCCCCAACCCTCAGACAGCCCCCCCGAACTCCTGATCCATCCAACTCTCCCCCTGCTCCCTGTCTCTTGACTGCCCCCTTCAGAACCTCCCTGCCCCTTCTCCCACCCTCTGACCCCCTTACCGTGCCGCTCAGAACAGCGTGTCGGGCTCCACACGCAGCCTGACACGCTGCCGCGCTCCCCCACGGAGCGCATAGCTCGGTTACTGCCCTCACAGAGTGCTGCTGGGCAGGGGGAGGAGCTCCAGACTGCCGGAGGCCTGTTGTGAACGGCCGGCCGGCTGCGAATGCAGGGAGGGGGGAGAGGGGCAGGGAGGGAGAGAGAGGAGAGGAGTGATCTCAGCTGCAGAGGAGAGGAGGGGGAAGCGGAGGAGGGGCTCTCTCTGGCTGCCGGAACCCAGTGCAAGTGGCACCATCCGGCCGGCTGTCCTGTCAGCCGCGTGCACTCTGCATAGGGAGGAAGTCCAGACATTTACAAATTCCCCCCGGACGAATGGTATTTTTAACTGAGAAAAGCCGGATATGTCCAGGGGAATCCGGACGAATGGTAACCCTAGTTCAGGTATGCATCCCCTGGCAGAAGGCTTTTTGTTGCGATACTAAAAATCTATTAGAATTGTAAATCAAGAAGATACAAACACTCCTGCTGCAGCTTGAATTCACTAAAACTCAAGCAAAAAAAAAACGCTTGTAAGAAAATAGCTTACAGACACCTCAGGCTAAGCAGCTTTCCATTTTGCTTCTAATTCTCAAAAAGGTCTTGGGGTAAAGTTTTAAAGCACACTGGGATTTAGTCATGTGACTCCTGATGTTAACTGAGGTCATGCAGCTAAATCCACACCCTTTGAAAAGGTACCTTGTTATCCTGCAGAAAGCACCATTTTCTGGGCTTTAGCTACAAACAGTGACATCAAATGCGGTTGTGCATATGTTTTGCAAACAGGTAGCCATCTGGACCCATTGAAGTATACTATCAAATTTCTGGTACTGCCTTGCATTGTGCATGTGGTTGCACATCCAGCAGTCATGGTTTTAAATTAAAAAAGGAACAAATTTAATACATATGGTGTCTGAGCTACACTGAGAGGTAAGGAAGGATTTGTACCCCATGAGTGGTGATGGCTGGAGGCAGTGGGCCAAATTCAGGCCTGATATAAGACCTTGCAATTGCAGTCACTTTACCAGGGCTATGTTTTGCTTATTATGCAGGCAAAAGCCAGGAAGCCATATTACCTTGACGTGAGCTGCAGGGAGCATGCTCAACATTGATCTTTAATACATCTATACAACTGTAACACATTTATTTCAGTGCAGCCTCCCCTGTACTCCCAATACTTCCTTGCACACAGGACGGAAAGTGTCCCATTGATTTCAATGACAGCAGGAGGAGGCCATTAGAGCACAGTGACAAAGTGCCTTCCAGAGGTCATCATAACAGCCCAGAACCGTGGAAACTTGCCCTGCCCTTGCAGGATTACAAGAGAAGAGGCACTGGCCAGTGTCCCATCTCCCCTCACTGTGTTGGTGAGAGCACTGTTTATTTGGCCCGAATCATGAAAAGGAGCCTTTGTAAACTGAACAGGCTCTAAACAGAGTAAAAAAACAAAAGGAACGGAACTATTAAGACTCATAACACAAAGAGTTTTAAGTGTATTCCTTTATAGAATCATAGAAGATTAGGGTTGGAAGAGATCTCAGGATGTCATCTAATCAAAGCAGGAACAACATCAACTAAATCATCCCAGCCAGGGCTTTGTCAAGACAGGCCTTAAAAAGGATGGAGTTTCCACCACCTCCCTAGGTAACCCATTCCACTGCTTCACCACCCTCCTAGTGAAATAGTTTTTCCTAATATCCAACCTAAATATCCCCTACTGCAACTTGAGACCATTGCTCTTTGTTCTGTCATCTGCCACCACTGAGAACAGCCGAGCTCCATCCTCTTTGGAACCCCCCTTCAGGTAATTGAAGGCTGCTATCAAATCCCCCCTCATTCTTCCCTTCTGCAGACTAAATAACCCCAGTTCCCACAGCCTCTCCTCGTAAGTCATGTCCCCCAGGCCCCAATCATTTTTGTTGCCCTCCGCTGGACGCTCTCCAGTTTGTCCACATCCTTTCTGTACTGGGGGGCCCAAAACTGGACGCAATAGTCCAGATGTGGCCTCACCAGTGCCAAATAGAGAGGAATAATCACTTCCCTCGATCTGCTGGCAATGCTCCTGCTAATGAAGCCCAATATGCCGTTAGCCTTCTTGGCAACAAGGGCACACTGCTGACTCATATCCAGCCTCTCCTCCACTGTAATCCCCAGGTCCTTTTCTGCAGAACTGCTGTTTAGCCAGTCAGTCCCCAGCCTGTAGCGGTACATGGGATTCTTCCATCCTAAGTGCAGGACTTTGCACTTGTCCTTGTTGAACCTCATCAGATTTCTTTTGGCCCAGTTCTCTAATTTGTCTAGGTCGCTCTGGACCCTATCCTGACCCTCCAGCATATCTACCTCTTCCCCCAGCTTAGTGTCATCTCTGAACTTGCTGGGGGTGCAACCCATCCCATCATCCAGATCATGAATAATCATTAGTACTCTTTTCTTCAACACCATGTACAAAAAACACCAAAACCCAGTGCATGAGTCTCTCAGGTAACCTACTGTTCAACTAAAATTTAATTTTTAAAAGTCTTTAATTCTTAAATTTAAGGTTTTCTAACATTTTCAAATTCAGACTGGGGAGGTCACATGGTACTCATGAGAAAGATGGCTGTCTAGTCTCAGACTACCTCACTCACCACATACCAATTCTTCTCTAATAATTACTTTCCTAGCAAATTGGCAATAAATTTCTGCCATAAAATTTTACATTAATCCACTGGATAAACTTCAAACTGTTGAATATGGATTCCAATGAAAAAAATGAGGGGCAATAAAAGACCTAAGCCTGAATCACCTAAGCAGCTAAAGGGGGAGATCTCAAGGCCACAACAGAACCTAGCCCAGGATATTGTGGAACTGAAAGATTTCCTCACAGACTGACTGGATTTCAATCTCAAAAGATATTAATGGTCTCTCTAAAGATGTATGTGATGTAAAATCCCCAATGGCTCACTTGGAAAATGAGCTACAAAAGATTGCCATTTAAACCAGTGAAATTAAAGAAGAAACTGCCCCCTTAAAGCTTAGACTACTCAAACTGGAAGAAAAACAGGATGACTACGAAAACAGATCTCAGAGAAACAATCTTCACCTCTTGGGCACTGCTGAGGGTCTAGAGGGGATGGATATTATCAACTTTCTTCAGAAACCTCTCCCTGACATACTTAAATTGGACCTTCACCCACCC